TGAATACAAGTATTCATTTTTCGAGATTCGATTATATTTTTTATAATATAACTGAAATCTTCATCATCCAATTTTTCCAACATTGAAATACGGTTCAACCCTCTGAGTTGAATAAACGAACGGGCTAATTGCTGTTTGGCAGCTTGAATTGAAGGATCTGATATTAAGCTCGACGAACCAACTAAAGCAGGCTAGGTATAATAACTGGAATTAATCATATAAACTTTGATTACATTTGTTTGCAAAATGAATTACAAACCTTTTTAGCGGCATCCTTTTCCGCTTTTTGTAAAATTTCTGTAGAAAGTTTTTTGATTGTAGTACATTTTTCACTAAAATCGCTTAGATGTTGTAAAGTAGGAGTCACTCCCAAGTCTTTAATTTCCGAGGTGCCATTTTGTCCTTGTTGGTTCATTTCGGGTTCAGTGGAGTCTTGAAGGTATGAATAGCTATTCGTATTAAACCTTACTCTAGCAGTTTCACTTAGCGTATATTAATGTTTTTAATTAAACTTCAAATTTATTGCAAAAAAAAAAAAAGTACAATTAACGATAGATCGAAATCGTTTTTCGTAAAGATTGTAACACATACTATATTTCAGTATAAGTTTGTCTGATTGGCCGGCATAAATCAATTATTTGAGAACGTAAACGTTCCACTAACCACAGCTTTAGGAAAGCACCCACACGTTCACTGTGCAAAGGAATCATACTAACATCTAAAGCAATGTGCATGCATAGTACACTTAAAATTAGCACATCTCTACACACAAAATTCGAATTGCTTAGCGTTAGTAAAAAAGTCATGTTTTATACATATGAGTGCGTGAGTGGTTAGGGTGTCAAATGCATATCTAATTACAAACATAGTGCAGGTGCATAATGAAAATCATGGATCGAATTTTTTTATAATTAAAATTTTTAAGATCTGCACGCAATATTAAAAACCATAGAGAAGTTGCTATCTTTCGCCTTTAATTCCTTCCGTACTAGTTATCCTTTTTTAATTTTATAAACACAAAATATTTAATTAAAGGCGTCTTTACACAGTGACAACGTCAGAATTTTGAGTTTCTAATTAATTAGTCTCTTTTTCATGGGTACGTACATACGAAAAATTGTTATAAATTTTAGTCATATAATAGATTTTTCTAATGCAGATCTAATCTATACCGACATATCTTTTAGTAATTAACTAAATCTGCTTTATCTAATAGAGAGCAATTAGATTACTAGCTTCGATCAAATAAATGTTAAATATAACGAAAAAAAAGGTATTTACTGATTTTATAAATACAATATTATTAATATTATTAATATTTTCTATTATTGTGTAGTAAAGCTTATTAGACTTGTAGTTTTTTTGCCACGTCGCCAGGTAAGAAAACTATCAAGAATTTCATATGCTTTTTCTTCCTTAGAAATTCTATTACTTTCTAATTGTTTAGTGACTTTAGATCTATTGGTGTCTTGCCGAATGTGTCGCAGCATGTCTTGAGAGATCTCTTGAAGTCCACCATCTAAACCCGAAAGCTGAATTCGTGATTCTTGTAGTTGAGCATTCATATTTGGGTGGACTTTCATGTCATAACGATTAAACAATCCTTCTAACTGCTGCTGATGCACCACAATGCTCCATATGCGAAATTTAATAAACTCGTATATGAGGGGAAACTTTGCCGGTTCTGATATATCAGAATCGGCAAATTTTTCAAATTCTTCAAAAAAGTCACGCTGTGCTAATGCTTCTAATAATCCGAACGTATTTGAATATCTATTTAATGAGTCTTTTCTTAAAAGTTTAATAATAGAAATCTCTTTTAAAGTTGAAACTCTTAAAAAATTTTTATTAAAAAATACAGTTAGAAAAGCACAAGCAAATTCGGGTCCATTTGCACCACCTAATTGGCAAACGCAGAGAGGTAAATGAATCCAGGTTTCCATCCATTTAGTAAATCCATTTAATGCACTTTCTATGCCAGCACATAATAATACACGAAAATTTTCAAAGTCTTCAGCATTCAACTCATGTTCAGCGTCATTTAATTCATCGCCAAATAATTGATGAATGTTTTCTAAACAATACTTAAGCTTTTGAATCCATAGCATTATTTTATCTGGCATTTCGTGCGCACGATTACCCGGAGGAAGAGTATCTACATTATTCGGATGGTGAATTTGTGGAATTGGATCATATCCGGTCAGAAAATTATAAACAGGCTCATAAAATTCCTGGCCAAATTTAAC